TCCTCTTCCTTTTCAGGTCCGCTTTGTGCGGAGGGGTTATGTTTTTGGGCCCCCTTTTCTGTGCCTTGTCTGGTGTTTGCACTTTCCTGGTCAGTGCATTTTCTCTGGCTTCTTCTGGTGTCATGCCCTGTTGAAGAAGCCTGAGGTACCATCGCACTCCAACTCAACTGAGGCCTTTTCTCAGTGGGTCATTAAACCCTCCGGTTGACCAAGAGGTGGGTAGTATGGCTTTTTCCTGGGATCAGCTTTTCTTCTTTGGGGTTTCTCCCCCTTCTTATCTTTTGCAGGGCCCTCTTGTCTCTGAGGTGATCTCGGAGGGTGTGAGGGTCCCGCCTGCTAACTGTCTTGGATGTCATGCTCCATTCGGTCAGCAGTTGGTTTAGCGGTGTCGTCCCGCTTTTCTTTGTTTTTTATGTTTTGCTTATCCGTGTTTGTTCCCACGAATAGCTAGGGAAATAAAGGTCAGCCACGTCGGAGCCCCGCACGCATGGAGGTAAGTAACACCCTGTTTAGCATTCGGCAATCCGTTCGACAACGGTTCGGTTTTTTAAATGTGACACCCGTGGTTGCATGGATGTGCGCTTTATCGGGTGTTACTTACCCTCGGTATTAGATAAGCCTATTTACTATCACCATCTTGTAAATATGTAATTATTTTAGGGCATTGAAATTTTAAAACATGAGTATATAAGTGCAAAATATAATTATTATTGTTATATTATTATTATAGAAAAACCTCGGACACTAATTTTAATTTAGGAGAACGTCTTTTTCACTATTTGTATATAGTTGTGGAACATCGGAAAATCCAAAAAGAAGGCCACGTTACACATTTTTAAATAACACACTGTATATGACCTTTTTTTATTTGTTTTTTTTTGTGAAATAACAAGGAATTTATTAATATATAGGGTGGGCTCAAAAAACCGGAATTTTGTTTTTGAGCTGTATTTTTTTTGTTGCTGACCAATTTCCTATTGTGTGTAGATATAGACTACAAAAGATTCAGAACAATTGTTTACGATAGGTATATACTGAACCACAGATTGAACATAAATAGGCGAGAACATGTTACTCCTTACATTAGAGTGAAATGCTCAAGATAAAAGAAAGAAGAATTTCACATTTTGCTGTTTTGATACAAAATATTATTTAGAACTCAGAATATCTCTCCGGTGAGGCTTGGTGACATTCATACCAGATCAAAAAGGAACACACTTTCGAATTACATTGTACTGAATTTTTTTAATCTTCTTTCTCTTATTTGGGTCTACATGTGTACATGATACCAAAAGGAAATACAAAAAGTAGGGCCTATAAACAAGAATTAACGAGCAAATTAATAAAATACAGATAGTTTGAAACATAAAAAACTAATAATATTATATCTATACTATGTATCTAATAAAGGCATAAGGTACTGTTGTAACGTTTTCAATTTCTTGGCTAATAAGCTACCTTGTTTTGCCATACTGGATATGATTCCATATAGAGCTACAATGAAATAAATGAATAGACAACTATCTTTTTTGTGCCCAGATTTTGTTACCTTGAGTGCTGCCTTCTACTAGAAGTTTTTTTTGGTTCAGGTTTGCAAGTTTGGTTAATTGATCTAGGAAGGTTTGATTCAGTACGGCAGGGCCCGCTGTTATTGATTAGAATCTTAGGAAAAGGAGTTAGTACCATCATCATCTCTGTTTGCAAATCCAATCAATAATCTGAGGTTATGATAATAATTGTTGTTTACTCTTTGACTTTTCATTTCCATCATGTCATTGAACAGCTGTTTTGTCTAGGCGTTTTCTTTAGACCGTTCTACTTTTTGATATATGTTCTATAGGCACTTTTCAACATTCACCAGTCATTTTTTACACAACCGATTCTCAGTTCGTACTTTTGGGGTGAAACTGAACACGTCCTTTTCTATAATTTTCTTCAATGTCAAAATTAGAAGTTTGACAGATGAAAGTCTTCTTCCGAAATCTAAATGAAGAATCTGCCCCTTTTGATCTGCGACCTCACGCTGAGTAGTCGTCCGGTCTCGGGCCTCGGCCCTAATTATTTTTGGGGCGAGACTTTTTGGAATTTTGTGCCAGGGAGCTCAAGTTTTAGTCTAATTTCTTGCTGATAATTGTCTAGAGTCGTCCCTTGGTCATTTTTGGATTCTGTTTCGGTAAGTTTGAGATTTTCTTCAGGAAATATTAACCTACAACACGTGTTCCATTTTTTTTAATAGGACTGTTCTGAGCAACATTTAGAAGTTTAAGACTTCACCTTTGGTCTAGAGTATCCCTCAATTTGAGTTAAGATTATTTCTAATATTTGGGGCTCGATTTGTTTTTTTATACGAACATCGTTATAGGGTCCTACTCTTAGGCTATCGTTGGACAATCCTAGTGCTAGGCTGTAGCTAGACAGTCTTAGGCTATAGTTGGACAGCTCCTAGAAAGAAATTCTAGACTAGATCTAGATTGCTCTTAGTTGGCTTTGGTAGCCTCCCTTCAGCAACCCTCTTGGTAGAGTGTAACTGATATTGTGGTTCTAATCTTTCACAAGTGTAAACAAACAGCTAAAACTGTTTATTTAAAAATCAATATTTCTATACATTATTTACATTCTTATTTTTATAATCAAATATTTATAAATTGGTACAAGCATTATTCTAAACACATTTTTAATAACCTCCTGGCTATCCCTATATTTTGTTATTATTTTTAATAAAGAAGCCAGATACATTATTGTACCTAATTAGTTGTTTTATTGATAAGCTCTCCAATTGCACAGGTCTTGTTTATATAACATCATTAAGTTATCTTCCTAGTTAAGTCACAATTAACTTGGTGGCGCCCAAAGGTAAGATGTATACAAGGAACCCATAGACCCATGGCCTCCGGACTGATGCTGACTAGCCGTATGCAGTATAATTAGGCAATTGCCAAAAAAAGTACGTTATACTTTTTGATAGCCTAAAAGTAGGATTGTCCAACTAGCTAACATTATGTTGTTAACTAAACATTATGTGAATGCAAATCTGTCCAGGGTAAGTAACACCCGATAAAGAATCTCTCCGTTGCGATATCGGGTGTTACATTCAAATTTGCGAACGTGAGCCAAATGGGTGTTACTTACCTCCATGCGCCCCGCACGACGTGGTAAGGTGGTTACTTGAAGAGGTCGCCCGGTATCTTCAAGGCTCCGTTTGAGGCGGTGCTCTCCCATCGTCATGCATCCCTCGGCACGGATCGCGTTACATTTTGGATTGGAGGGTTGGTCAGCGTTACCTTATTGGATATTCGGTGATAACCTATAAAACATAGGCCGTCTGGCCATCCGCCACCTGCCGATGCTCCCCCATAGCCTCCCAAGCCGGGGGATTAGATGGCCGATTAGATGGTCATCACTAAAATACAGCAAAAAATGCTGTGTAGTGTTGAATCCTAGTCTTAGATGGCGCCACGATTAAATTTCGACCGTCGTACTACTTCTATTTTGCCTACAGGCACAAAACTTGGATTGTTTTTCTTTGCTTTCCTAGCCATACCTACCGATGAGACCACCTGATAGGTCGAAACGCGTCTATGGATGGAATAGCGAAGAAAATTGATCCAAAAATTTTCTCATCAGTGGATAAAAGGAGAAAACTTGTTTTCCCTGTTCTGGGTTTTCCTAACGAACTGTTTTTGGTCGGCCGATTAGATGGTTATCACTAATGGCGATTTACATTTGTCAATCAGTGTGCACTGAGTGTATCCGCAACTTTTTCTAAAAGCATATGTAACATGTAAGGAAAAGGATACATTTTTTTTGCACTGGTTTGACAAATGGAAAGCGCTATAAAATACAGCAAAAATTGCTATTTAGTGTTGAATGGCGCCACGATCAAATTTCGACCGTCGTACTATCGGGTGGTATGAATAAAAACGAAGTACTTGCTACTACTACAAGCTGTAAGTATTAGTATGTTGTACGTAGTATTTACTTCAAAGCGAAGTAGATACTACTAATTTACTAATTTCCGGTAGTGTCGAAATGTAGTATTTACTTCGTTTTGAAGTAAATCCTACGTAGAATATACTAATACTTACAGCTTGTAGTAGTAGCAAGTACTACGTTTTTATTCATACCACCCATTAATTGAAAATGCCAATAATGTCGAATATCAAAAAACCTATTCAAATTAGGGATGTTTTGTGAAATTAGGCCCTAAGACGTATCAAGTCTGGAGACCTTGTTACTTGTCCTAGATTTCGAGAATGACCGAAGTGAGGATAATACTCGAACCGTATTAATAGATGGGCTCACAACTATATTTTATTTGATCACGAAATATTAGAATTTGCAACCAAAAATGTAAAGTTTCAATGCAATTGATGAAGCATGACTAGCATGAGTCTTTCTTATGATCAAATGTAGCTTGAGGAAACGAAAATACCTGACCAGTGGGTCATGGATCTACTAAAATGTGACCAAAGTAAAATTCAAATGATACTAAGTATGTGAAAATTATTGTTTTTTTTTTTAAACATGTCCCATTCAGCTGAGAATTTTTACTCTATTAGTAGATTAATCGAACATTAACTACTATAATAAAATTACTAAAAAATGTTCTCACTCTGACTCATTGGAAAACAATATCTCTGTTATGCCAAACCCAACCATCAAGTTTCCAACCTATTCGACGATAAACAAAGTTGAAGTTCATTTACAATTTTTTTCACAAAAATCTACGGAATTTATCGAGTAACGACAATAAAAAAACATGAAACCACATCGATGGGTGTTGGTCGTTGGATCGTGAGAACTAATGGGTGCAACGTGCAATCGACACCGTAATCGTGGCGATCTGTATATTATGCAAATATAATAACAGTTTTTTATTTTCTATAAAAGCTCATTTATTTCATTGCCTTTTGATGAGGGCGTTTTAGTACTTTTCAACAAATTTTATTTCAAAAACCAAAAACCTTAACCAGATAAAGTAGTTCAGAAGGAGAAGGATAGGTACATCCAAACATATCCTATATGTACGGTTTTAATTCTCTTCTTATTTGACGAGCTTAATTATAGATGAAACAAAACCAGAGGCAAGAAGATTCACAAAGGAGAAACTATCGAAGTTATGGAGTCTGATAAAAAAAAAACTGAATAAAGTAATCTAAACAAAAGGAAGGTGGCCACCTCCAGATTCTCCATTTATCTATCTATCTATATCGGTAGTTTAATAATTTTTCAGGCCCCCATAAATCAGAAAATAAGAATTAATTCCGCAAATTCAGTAAAAATGTCCCACGTATAATTATTACTATAGCGACTATAGAATGACTAATCACATTATCTTATTAGTATGGCAAGCGTGGACAAATAGGATAAACTCATTCTTTAGTGGGATAAAATAATTAGCTAAGTAGGCATTTTAATGATAGTTTAAAGAAAAATCGAACGGAGCAATCAATAAATAATTTATGAATATGCACCGATTAGTTTCAGCCCAATGACACTCGATAATTAATTCTGTGTGAAAAAACTGCAGGATAACTGTACCGGATCACCCAGGTAGGTAAAAGATTGAGGAAGGAATCAAAAAACTGATAGGTATAGAAAATTATGTAATAATATATCTATGTTAGACAATGATGATTGATAAAATACATTCGAAAAAGTCGCTGGCCAAGTATTAGGTATTTTTTTTAGGTAAATACGTAATTTTATGAATAAATGAAAAAGGTCGATGTCATTGGGTATTTACCGACCTATCAATTTTAATTTTTCTAGAAAATTGCATTAAAGAAAACATTATTTTTAAACATAAATAATATCCGAGATGAACTTTGAAGTGTTCTATCTTCAATCAAAATATTCTCCTCTAGCCTAAACAGGATAGTTGCATCGATTATTATAAGACTTAGTAATGAAATTCGAAATAAATCGGATAACTATATGCAAAATATAATTATTAATAAATGAAATTATCCACCTTAAGTTGCAATTGAAATTATTTTTTTTAGTCTGCATATCCCGCTTGCATTTTCGAAGGTCGTAGTGAGACCTATATAATAGGAGGGTTGGCTTGATTAAACCACAGTCAAGTCCAACTCTCAAGACAAGACAAGATCTCACGATGAACGGTTTGGTAAGGGAAACATTTCCATTGCATCAAAATAATTTTTAATGATTAATTTTTTTTCTCCAGATCCTCGCACTTGCCACCCTTTCCGTTGCCTACGCCGCCCCTAGCGGTGTAGTGCTTGGAGGACACGGTCTAGGACTCGGTCTTGGTGGACTCGGTCTTGGACATGGAGTCGCACTCGCCGGCCCAATCGGTCACGGTGCCGTTCTTGCCGGACCTGTAGCTCACGGAGCTTCCATTGTTGGACCCGCCACTCACGGAGCTTCCATTGTCGGACCCGCCACTCACGGAGCTTCTATTGTAGGACCCTCTACCCACGGAGCCGCAGTAGTAGGACCAGTTGCTGGAGGTGCTACCGTAGTAGGAGCCTCAGCCGGACACTCTGCTATCATTGGAGCTTCTGCCCATGGAGCTGCTGTTGTAGGACCAGCTTTGTCATTAGGAGGACACGGTCTTGGTTTGGGTGAGTTAATATACTAAACATAATTTATCGTCAAAATACTTTATACTGCTATGAAATTATAGTTGTCTTAAATTGTTTACTATAGAATAACTCTCACTATAAAGTAACTCTCTCTAAATATTATCATTTTTCTCAGGAGTAGGAGCTGTCGGTGGATTAGCCCACGGTGTCTCTGTTGTCGGACCACCCACTGTCCCAGCCACCATCGCTGGACCATCTGGAGCCATCCACGCTGACGGACTCTGGGGACCCACCCTCGCTCATGGTCATGGAGGTCATGGTCATTGGTAAACATCGAACCAACAACCACTATCTTTTAAGCTTGCCATCTACTAAATATTCTTGAAATAGTTATTATTGGAAAACTTCTGTAGCTAGTCAACTGCAATAACAGCGGTTTTCCTCTAAAAGCACTTATTTGAAGAAATTTTCAGTAAAATGGTTTACTGACTCTTTATGCTGTGTGACCATTGTACTGCCTCATGATATTTTTTTGTACCATACTATTTATAAGCGAGCAAATGTGTTCAATAAAGAACTTTCGTTGTGAAAAATATTTGTTTGATCTTTCCTGAAAAACTTTCAAGTGAAAAATACCTGCCCTACAAAATTCAAGCAAGCTTCTAAATTCAGCAGTCAAACTAGTACAGGTAGAGACGCTGTGTCGGCATACCCATACAAATCAATTTTATGATTTGGAAAGCTTTGTGGTGGAGAGTGAAGGGCCGCTACTACAAGTGTGGGCGCACCCCAAGAACTAATATCTCCAATTTACTTACCTAAGCTAATTACGAAGGTTATAATATTGGGTAGGCTTCGAAAAAACAGAAGAATTTATTTGGGGAAAGAGGAAAGGAAACTAGAACAACCACTCCACAGCAAACCAAATTCTACTATTTACCTACTGCCTGATTGTGATCATTCCAGTGAATGATCACAATCACACAAACTTCCTTGTCAATGGAGAATGTAAAAGGATTTATTTTATAATGAATTTGAAAGAAACTGAATAAATTCGACAAAAGAGAAATATTCAGACACATCTGAACCTAGGGTAAATTCAAATCTCATTATTTATGTATTAAGATCACCTATAAATGCATCCTTCGCTTCTCAATAGGTACCTACATGGTGCAATGTAGATAATTTATTCTAAAATGAAACTGGAAGAAATTAAATAAACTTAAGAAAAGGAACTGAAGGAAGATTATTTAGACAAATCTGGTTCAACATCAAATTATAACATTTACTAGAAATTTAGCCTTCGCTTCTCAATACTGATGGGTGCGATGTGCGATATTAAGAATTTGTTCTAAAATGAAATTAAACAGTAATAAATTCGAATAATTGAACTGAAGAAAAGAGAGTGATTTAGACAAACCTTATGGCTGCGTTGTTGGATGTATTAAACATTAAAATTAAAGGAGACGTCACTTATGAACGTTAAGATAAAACTTTGCACTCAATTTTTTTTTGTTGTTGTTGTAATCGTTTTATTTAGCTACTATACCTAAGTAATTATAACTAATTTACAGCTTGGAGTTACATATAAGTCATCTTAACATTATCCATTCTTTCAAAAAACACAGAAAAACGATAAGTTAACATTGCACGATAATTTCAAACACAAAAGTTAACTGAACCAAGATAAGAAAATAAACCAATAAAGCCTTTCCGGCGTTTTGTAACGTGTTATATACAATATTTTTTTGAAATTTTGCTCTAGGTGGAAACATACTTATACACTATGTGCTTATATATTTGATTTGGTCTCTCTTGGTAATAAAGCAAAACTCGCTGATTATGGAGCAAAACTCGAAGAACAAAATGAGCATGATTAAATTTCAGAATTTTCACTAGGGGGGGCTGGGAGAGATTCTTGGGAGCTCTGTAGGTCTCTCCTGGTATTGGAGCAAAACTCGCCAATAATGGAGCAAAATGGAGCAAAACTCGGAGAACAAAATAAGCATGATCAAATTTTCGAATTTTCACTGGGGAGGGGGGGCTAGCGTTAATTCAGCCCTCCCCCCCACCTAATAGGCCACATAGTCACTCCACTGTAATGGAGCAAAAATTGAAATTAGTGGAGCGAAATGGAGCAAAATTATGGGATAATTTTCATCCAGAAATTTGCAATGGGGGGGGGGCTAACTTAAATGACCTAATCTATAATGTCGTAAGATTGAATTGAAAAAATTCCATTTATTGATTTTATTTTCAAAAAATTGAAAATGTTATTCCAACTAAGGTTTTGATAAAGGGAAACATATTTGGAAAAAATTGGCATTTACACAAAAAAAAATCAAAAACACCATTATTCAATAATTCAATGATTCCTCGCGTTCACGACCACATCTGCAGAACTATCACCTGAAACAATGATAATGGAGACTTTGGATAACCATATTAGAATGGACAAAATTAGTCAATCAGCCTTATGCACTAAGCACCTAGACTTGAAGTCAATGTTGAAATTTTGACATAAAAATCACAATTTCAATAAAAATGACGGTTTGGTATGCAGGAAGGCACTTAAATCAATTTATTGAAATCATAAATTTCAAGACGTTGAAACTAAGTCAAGTGACCTTGTACATTTCAATAATTGGTATGCACTAAGGGAAAAGTTGAAATTAATTTCAAGTCAAGATTGAAAAAAAGTCAAGAATCTTAACGTCACGCAAAATTCAACACGTTAGACACCTTGAAATGATGTCAACAACAAAATTTTACCTAAAACATTTGTTTTTTTGAGAGTTTGTTTTATTTAAATATGTAAAATTCGATTTTTGTGAAGCTGTGGAAAAGAAATGAATTTGTTATTCTATAGGTATCGATTCAAAATAAAATTCAGAAAAGACTAGTTCAAATCAAATCACATTTCGTCGCTTAGTGCAAATTACTCAATTAACACAAATTACTTTGCAGTACCCATAGGTATAGGGCATTCATCTTCTAATATAGGTAGGTACCTGTACCTATAAGCCCCCTGCCCTGTCTTTTAAAGTTTCACAATTTTGAAGCTGGTGCTGATGTACCTTCCTACACATTAAAATTTGTCTCTAAAGCACAATTGCCTATCAAAAAATGAACTTTCTACAATACAGTACAGGTATGATATGAAATGATTTAAACTTGATTAGGGAAGAGCTTTGATAGATAAGAAAAATCTGCTTTTAAGATGACGAAATTGGAGCTGAAAAAATCAAGTTGGAAATCTTGGAAATGGAATTTTGATCGTGTTGAAGGAAACTATTCTTTATAACAGAATCGTCATTGTGAAAAATAGTGAGGTGGAAAATTATTGTCCTTAAATTAATAATAAATACATCTGGATATTTTGGTTATGTTTATATTTACTTATTTAAAGTATTATCAGATTAATAATTAATTTATTCTGGACTTGCAAGCTTATTTCTATGGCAAATAAATAAATTTTTAGACCCTTGATTTTTTTTTCATGTATGTTTACATCAATGGATTTTCCTAAAAATAAAATTAGATAAGTTGAAATAATTGTGAATACCTGCCACACCTACACACTGTACCTACCTAAGTCTCCACCTAGGTATATGTTCACTATGTATTTCCATTTTTATACAAAATAAATTCGTCTGGCTTTCGACTTCGCTCTCGATTTTGGATTTCCATTCCCTCAAAATCTATTCGAATATAAACCCAAAAGCATTTTTTTACCCATGTTCTAATTTGCCAATGATCTATTTGGATTTTGTAACCTTATTAAAGGAATCCTTATTTTCGGACTCAAATGCGCATGCGTAGATGTCAAAATAAGGCTAATTTAAATACTGCTTGTCCTTAATGCACGTCCAATAACTCTCTATTGTCACATTTCCTCATATTTTATTTGATTTTTCGTAAATTTTCTTTAATGGGATAATAAAGAAAAATAAATAAATCTTATCAAAGAACTTTGCTTATTACGTAACTCATTTAAGCCTGTTTGAGTTACGCAATAAGTTGTATTATCATACTCAGTGATGTAATGTGCTCATTACGTTACTCATTTTCATTGAAAAACGGCACTTTGAAAAATTCGTTTATTCGGAGAAGTTATAAATTTAGTCTATTGTGGAAAATTAAACCCATTTCGAATACATACAAAAAAATCTAGGTCGTACATAAAATGTTGTATATCACACGTACGGTAACGCTCATTACATCAGTCGTGTGATAACGACGACTCGGTCTACGACTTCGTCTTGGCAATATTCCCCACTCGTTACTGTAATGAAGCTCATACCGCACTACTGATATAATAAATAACTATTATCTACAAGCGTTTGGTTATGGCGTTTTTACACACCCATTTTTCACGAAATTATGTCATGAGACTAATAACACAACTAGTGATATTATGGACTAGGTTAGGAATTTATAACACACTAGTGGTGTTATGGATTAGGTTATGAATCTATAACACAACTAGTTTTTTTGATTTGACAAATGTCTATGTAAAGCTTTGAAAGTAAAATGAAGGTACCTAGATAACTACTAATAAACGAAAATTTGAAAACATTTTCTTATTTCTCGCTTTGTAGATAAAACGTTGTACATCACACGTGCGTTTAAACATGACTAAAAAACTTGCGTGATTAGAACGACTCGGTCCACGACCTCGTCGTTCTAATCTTTCACACTCGTTATTGTAGTCATGTTCATAAACGCACTTGTAATGTAAATAACTATTGAAAAGTCTGTGAGGTCAACAGTCAACGTTAGTTATTTACATAACAAATGCGTTTATGAACATGATTACAAAAACGAGTGTGAAAGATTAGAACGACGAGGTCGTAGACCGAGTCGTTCTAATCACACAAGTTTTGTAGTTTTTTATAGTTTGAACGCACGTGTGCTGTACGTTTTATCTACAAAGCGAAAAATAACATAATGTTTTTTTCCAATTTTCGTTTATTAGTTGTCTACCTTCATTTTACCTTTGCAGAATTAACTATACAAGCATTTGACAAATCACAAAAACTTAGTTGTGTTATAAGTCTCATGACATAACTCAAATATTAGAAAAATGGTTATGTAAAAACGTGATAACCAAACGCTTGTGGATGAAGTTTTTATACGTACTTGTAGGAAATTTTGTCTACTTTAATTTGGTATATTATAGTTATAAATAAAGACCGCTGAGCCTTAGAGTTATAGTTAAAAACCTGAAAAAAGTGCCGAATATTTAGGTTTTTTTGCAATTTTTCGTGTGAAGTCGACATCTAGCCAGGTGGAAAACCTCAGATTCGGATTCAGCTTCCAAAAAAACATATAGAACCGGTGAGAAAAAAATTTCTTCGTTTTTTTTTCCTGGAAGAAACCCCTGTTAGCTGAAATAAATTTCAAACAATAATTTATCTCTACTGGGAACAATACGGTATCCAATCATATTTCGCTCACTTGGAATTAGTTATCAGTTTGACGTTAAGTTAAGGTTAAAATCTTCGTCCTATGTATCTTTCAACTGGAGAAAAAGTTTTCTTTCAACGAAAACTATCAAAACTGTAATCTTGCTATTCTGGCTACAATGTTCCGAGTCT